ATAAGAATTTTATCTTAATGTTGTATCTTAAATTAATTAATTATGTAAAAAAATTTAGATTTCTAAAAAATAAAATACTTCTAATTTATTATTTCTTAATTAGTAAGAAAAAATTTCTAAACTTGAATATTTAAAATTAATAATTAATTTTTGAATTAAAAAAAAATGTCTGGTGAACAGTGCGACGCTAATATTGATGTCGCATTGTTCACCCGTAATCAAATAGAGGCAAAAATGTTGCTCGGATGGAGCGATCGAAGAAACGGTGCCATACATTTGTATGATGTTCCATTGGAGATGCCCTAAATATTTGTAAACCAATAAGGACTTATTATTTAAAAGTAGCATATGATTACTAATTTATGATCACAACCTATCAATTTAAAAAAATAATCATAGCCATTTATTAACTTTCACTATTATTAGATTCTTTTTTTTTTAATTATAAAGGTTATGTAGAAAATTCTATATGGAATATACACACACATACTTACAAACAAACATATATGATAATTTTAGTATAATTAGTAAGCTATTTGAGTATAAAAACATTTAAAATACCTTTCTATCTGCCCGATTTGTTTAATCATTCCATTAGTCATAATTTTTATCCCGTTTTACTTGCAATCTTTTAAATTTCATTCATTTATTTTGTAACCAAAATCAAGGATCTATTTTAATGTGTAAATAACTTATATTTATTTAACAATATGAGTTTAATTAAATAGTTATTATGATGCATAACTCTAATAAAATCATAAATAAGTTTACATATCATGTATAATTTAATTCTAAAAGTATTTAAATAGATAAAATTTATTTAATTTATATTACATTAAAAATTCTTAGGTGAGTATTACATTAAAAAAGCATTAAAAATTTAAAATGATTCATCTCTATTGAATAAAAATTCTAAAAACTTCTTTTTTAAATCTCATTATTTTATTTTCAAGCGGCATAAATATCACTCATAATAAAGACATTATAATTATAGTGACTCTTAATGAATAATATAATATACATTTAAACTAATATATATTATATTAAGGAATTCTCATTATTATTTTAAATTTCCAACTAAAGGATGAAGTAAATATAAAACTATCTTAAATATATATTAAAATTCGATGCCACATAAGAATAAAGACATTATAATTATAGTGACTCTTAATGAATAATATAATATACATTTAAACTAATATATATTATATTAAGGAATTCTCATTATTATTTTAAATTTCCAACTAAAGGATGAAGTAAATATAAAACTATCTTAAATATATATTAAAATTCGATGCCACATAAGATAATAAAAAGAAAAAATTAAATTAAAATTAAAACCACTGTATAAGTTATAGCATCTAAAAATGGATGATAAATATTATTCTAATAATTTTTTAAATACATGACAGACATTTTGGATTAGCAATTACTGAGGTACAACGTCACCTTATAAAAAAATTTTCTAGTGACTAACTTAGCAATATGAATAATTTGATACTGCTAACTCAAACTAAATATGCAAATTAAATCAAAAAAATTATTTGATCTGAACACTTTGATATCCAAACTAAGAGAATTTATTTATTTCATATGTGAAATAAGCACTTCACGCAAAGTAGTATAGGCTTCTTTCACTACAAAAAAATCGGATTTTTCGCAACAGATGTTAGTAGCGGATTTAAAACCGTAGCCAAAACACCATTTTTTGCAACCCTGCGAAACGGCGCCCGCCCTTAAACATAGAAGCCCTAATTTTTTACTTATTTGTGCGAACTGCTCGGCTCCCCAATGTCTTCCGCCGCGGAGCAATCCACCTCCGAGTGGAGCAAACCACTGCCGGAGGAGCACACTTTCGGTCATTGCTGTCGGAAACGCCCGTCCGTTCGCACATCACTGGCATCTTGGTCGCGATCAGTATTATTCAATGTGAGTCTCTTTCCCTTCTTTCTCTTCTTCTTCTCATTCTTCTTTTTCATCTTCTTCTCCCTCTTCTTCTCATTCTTCTTCTTATTTCATTTCAGTAAACGATCGAGACCTTAGGAGGGTACTAATCGACTGAGCAAGCTTGTTCGACCTTCAGCCATTTGGATTCCTGCAAGTGGCCTCATACATTTCTGTTGTATGTATTTCGTTCCCTTTTCTCCGTTAATAATGCTTTAAAATATATAGTAGCATGTGGCATCCTTAGTTTACTAATCTGCTTTACTTCAATAATCATAGTATAAAATATATTACATTTCAAGATTAATTTAGAGGTGCAAGCACTCAATTCCAATCAACCGATTCATTTGAGGAGGCAATTGAAACTGAGCCCACTAATTTTATTTTCCGAATTTATTGAACTCAATCACAATCACCAAGAAAGAATTAAGCGACAAAGCATGTATGCATACAAAACATGACAAACATGTAGCTATCTCTCTCTCTCTCTATATATATATATAATGGAGTCAATATTTCAGAAAAAAAACTAGGCAAACTAGTTTTGCATGCATCCCATTGAATAGCCTCTGATATAACTGATCCAATCTCGATTGCAAATAAGTGCAATGAATTGAATTTCTCCAACAGTTACATCGCATAATTAGATTGATCACTTGAAACTAGAAATGCTCTTCATAAAAAGTAAAAAGATGATAATTTCCAATGACAAAAGAAGTAATTATGAAAAAGAAAAGTGAAGAGCAAATGAATTGACTTCTTCAAGGTCTAATTTGCTAGTTGTATGTAGGGTGTGTAAATTCTATTTATACACAGGGGCGGATCCAGCTTCTTTTTTCAGGGTGGGCAAAAAAAAATTTTTTTTTGTGGGGATGGACAAAAATGCCTAGGATTGATAAAATTAGGACAAAAAAAATTTTTGAGGGGGGGGGGGAAATGCCTAAAATACTCAAAATATTCCAAAAAATCTCCTATAAATATTAAAAAAAAAAAAATTGAGGGTGGGCATTTGCCCACCCTAAGACTAGGGTGGATCCACCCATGTTTATACACACCCTGTGTACAAGTTGTATACAGGGGCATGGACAAATCATGTGGCTTTGTTTCATTGTGTGTACAAAGCAAGGATAAGATATGTTTATAAACATATAATCAAATGTATATAATTTTCACTCAATAAATTTTAGATTTCAATTTGCAATATTGTGAATGCAATTTGGATATGTGATTCCTTTTGAGTCTAGTATAAGTGTTGATTGAGAGGAATATAACCAAGGGTTGCATTCTAATAAATTTTTTTCAATGTATTAGATTTTGATTTATTATTATTGTTATGTGTAGTAAATATTTTTCCCATCATACTCATGATTATGAACGCTAAATGCTACAGATGATGCTGATGATTGCAGAAAATTTAAGGACCCTTGCAATTAAATTTTTTGCTGCAGTACTGTGTAGACATTCAAGCTTTGAAATTTCTAAAAAAAAAATTGATCTTTTGTGGCGGTTTAAACCGCTACAAAGTACCAGAATTGTACCAGTTAAAACCGCCACATTTATAAAAACATGTTCATGTTCGAAGCATTTTCATCGGTTTTAACCAGCACAAATCTGGTACTTTGTACCGGTTTAAACCGCTGCAAAATTTAGCGATTTGCATTTACTACCCCGCCGGTTGTAAAACCGCCGCGGAATGTCATTGTAGCGCATAGTAATTATAGCGTATTTGTATCGATTTTAAAACCGCTGCAAAGAAAATTGTGGCTGTTAAAATCACCGCGATAGCTCAAAATTTGTGCTGCGATTACCTTATTTTTTGATAGTGTTTTAGTACCTTCTCAAATCAATTATTTAGAATTAAAATTAAAATTTTGGAAAGCAAACAAATAGAATTTTCCATAGAAGAGCAATGACGCGTTCTTAAACAGAGATAATATCATGCACCCAAAATGTTTTTATTTTTTTATTTTTTAAGTTTAGTTTCAAAAAGAAAATCTAATAAAATGATTTTTTTATGATGACTAACAAAAGAATGAGTATATATATATTTTTTTAAGTTTGTTTCTCCACATTTTTGCTGAAACATAACAGCCTATACATCTCAAGCAGAAACTGTGAGAGCAGCTTTTGAGGAAGAGTAGTTTAGAAAGCAGCTTATTTTCCATACAGATGCTGCAGATAAGCTTACTTTTAGCCGGATTGGAGATACAGGGGATGAGTCCTGAGTTATCTTTTTATGTTTTCGCAGCTTGTTTTCTCATACTTTGCCTGCAAATGTGAAAGAAAATTTGTTTTTGATGAAATGCTTTGAATAGCTCTACTTCTCTTTCGATTAGCAAGGCAAATTAACAAGATTCTTCTAGTAATTTATTTGATTAATAATGAAATAAGAGTAATATTCTAAGAACCTTAAAATAAATTTTCTTATGCAAAAGTTACCTGAAGAAATTTTCTTATGAGATGGCGGAAGAAAAGAATGAAAGGTAACAATTGAAATGAATAGTTGTGATTGAAATACAGACTTTTTTTATGAATAAAGTTAGGGGGATTTACATGCATATCACTTTATTTTTTATATATTACATATTTAACACCCAATACTTAAATATTACACTACTACCACCCAAAACTTATTTTGACAACAAAAATACCACTCCGTCAATAGAATCCCTCACTCCGTCTCTCTCATTCGGCAATACCTAACCACCCAACGACGGAACGTCCTCATTGCTTGCGCTGAAGGCTTCCAGCACATTTATCGTGGAACCCTCTGTTGTCGTTTTGTTACGGTGAAAACTGTAGTTTCTTTTGCATCTTCTTTAACTGAATTGCAGCCGGAAGGATTCACAGATGGAGATAATGAAAATATATGCCACTTGAATAAACCTATATATGGTTTGAAACAATTCTCCCAGTCACTAGTATAATCAAAGCAAGGTTTTAAACATGCATCCAAGACATTTGCGTCTACCTCGGGCAAGTAGCAGATTAAAGACATGCAACTGATTCCAGCTCATTTGCATATGTAAGGTAGCTCTCATACTCATCCCTTAGAACAATGTTAGTTATATTTCCCAATCCATTGACTCTTCAATTGAAAACGAACAAAACATAAGTTTTATGATATTGTAGCCACACTATCTTCTATAGAAACATAAGTATTTCTTATGTTCGCTAATCATAAGTTTAACTTGGGAAGAAAAAGGAGGATAGCTAATGCAGAAATGCATACAGAAGAATAACTAGGGAAGAAAAAGGAGCAGAGTTCAGCCGGGAAATGCAGAAACGGAGTGCACTTGGAAAGAGTCGCTACAGACATACTCGCCAGAAAAACCTATTCTCGCGCGGAAAGCTCACACGGGAAGAATGAAAGAGACGGAGTGAGCGATGTTGTTGACGGAGTGGTATTTTTGTTGTAAAAATAGTGTTTGGGTGGTTGTAGTGTAATATTTAAATATTAGGTGTTAAATATATAATATACAAGAAATAAAGTGGTATGCATGTAAATCCCCCATAAAGTTATAATTATAAATTAGGGTTTAATATACATAGCTTTGTTTTCTCCATAGCGGTCAATGACCCTACTAATTGCTCACTGCCGCCACCCTTGATGTCGAATATTGCTTACTAGACACTTAAGTCTATCGCCGACCACCGTTGTTTGTTGTGAGCTAAGCAACAACCTTGTTGCTTCTATTGTTAAGTTTTACATTGAATTAATTTAGCTTCAAATCAACTATTAAAAAAGAAAAAGTAATCTTCTATATTTATAATGCAGTCCAATAAACAACTCAAAATATCTTAAATACACTGCATATACTTTATATCGTGTTACTTTCACTTTGCATCTTTTTCTTAACTAAACAAACAGCCTCTTAGCCATATCCAAAATACATAATTAAGAATTTTTATAGGAAAATTTGACATTATATGCCTCGTAATAGTGAGAATTACATAAATATATCTTCTTCTTTTTTAACTATACTATAAAGTTCATTTTTGTTGCATAAAACTTACTTAAAGTGTGCCGCAATCATAATTGATTTGAATATATTTCAAATAATATTAGAGGAGAATTTAATTTGCTTACAAACCCTATTCGAATATGATTTGAATGTTCATGTCCAAAAAGCTATAATATATCTCAATGATAAGAATTATATCATTATATAATCAAATAGTGATATTACTATTAAAATTACATTAAATCTAAATAGTTTTAGTGTTCTTAAAGTAATAATAAGATAGCATAAGCTACTAAGAAGATGCTAACTTTTTTTAATTTTAACATGTTCTGAAAGCCTTTTAAAAATTGCACGTGTTAGAAAATTTAAGACAGCATAACAAGAGAGTTATGTGTCTTAATTTTGAATGAAAATCTCACACACAAATAGATAAACGAAAATATAACATAGAGACCAAATTTTTTACCTCAAAAAATTGTGAAAGATAGAAATTACAATGCTTGACCTAACTAAAATGAGTTTCTTAGATAAACATTGTTATAAGGATTTGCCTGTTCCTCAAATTGGTGAATATGAGATTTTAAGAGTCTAAATTATGGGCTTTTGACCTCATGTGAGAGAGATGAAAAACATTGTTGAAGTGGTAAGGGGTGAGAAATTTCGAATGTGGTGGTCTGAGAATGGTAGTCCAATGATAGAAGCCAAACAACAATAGTTTAATGATAGAGGTTAGACAGTGGCCATCTGATGATGTTGATTGGATGGTGGCTATATCTGACAATGAGGGCAAAGCAAGGGTTCAAAGATAATGGTTGGGTGATGGTGGGGATGTTGATCCAATGATAGAGGTTTGAGAGTGGTTCAAAAGTGGTGATCAGATAATGATCAAATGGTGATGGTCGGGTGGTGGTTTGTCGATGACGTTTGGCGGTAGTCTGACGGTAGTAGTTTATATAATACCTATTGAATCCTTGCACAATTTCATCTGTTTTGACGTCTGCTAAAGGTAACTCACTAATTTTATGCATTTTACATGTGTCTGTGACTGTTATGCATGTTGATGTTTGAATTTACTTTGAAGTGGGTCATAGAGGTCCATGTGCATGATTTCTAAATCTAAAAATTTTCTCAAGGTTTGTCGCGACATCGGGTGGGCAGCATCCCAGCAATGAGCTCTTTATCTTTTTACTAAAATAATTCCCAAGGTGACGTCGTAAAGAGATTATGCAGATTCGAGGAGTCATGGCCAAGACAAAAAAAGTCAAATAATTAGTTATTAAAATAACACTTAACTACTCAATTAGGCAAATAAGAAGATACTTATTTATTAAATATTTGGTTATTTAAGTAACTTCTAAAATAATTAATTAGATGAATAGTAATATGATTAGTAATTAAATTCTTAGCCATTAAACACTTAAATAATTGGTTAAATAAATATTATTGTAATTTATAATTAAATATTTGAATTCTTAGGCTTCCTACAACTTTCTTATTGTTTTAATCTTTAGATCACAATTATAGTTTTTGTTTGGTGCTTGTAATAATTTTGTGTGTTAAAAAACTGTTTTGTATAATAGCTTTTTAAAAAGCTGCTTTCTTTAGAACTTATATGGCTTATAATTTATAAAATTTAAATTTATAGGATTCAATAAAATCTACTAGTGACCGAACAACCCCTAAATGAAAAAAATATTAAGTGCAAAGTCCAAATTTCATTCCGATTCCAATCAGATGGAGCCACATATTTTTTTCTTTTGTACACAATGTTTGTACAATCAAGAGAAAAAAAAAAACTACATGACTTACTTTGTTTAAGTCCGGATAAAAAAGTTACGTCTTGACTATGTACGTAATAATCTCTCCCCCAAACGATATGTATGTAAATTTTTGTAGGGCGAATAATTATAAATAATATAAAAGGGAATTTACATATACACCACTTTATTTTATACTATTTACATATTTAATAGCTTAAACTTTAATATTTCATACATATCACCCATAAAATAAATTTGGGTGTATGGAGTGAAATATTAAAGTTTATAGGATGTTACGGGTGATAATAATAAAAAATACGAGTGATATATTTGATATTAAAATTTTATATAAGTGATATAAATGTAATATTAAAATTTTTAAATATTAGACATATAAATAATATGAAATAAAATGATCGTAAATTTACTAATAAAACCCCGTAGACCTGGTTTAGGACTAGACCCAATTTTTATAGTCACGTGGACAAAACCGCGGTGGATCACGTCGGGCGCTTGAGAGAGAGAGAGAGCGAGAGAGAGAGAGAGAGAGGGCAGAGAACCGGTTTTAGATCGAGTTTCAACGAGTACATACACAATTCTTGATTATTTGATAATTCAGCAAGTACATCGCAGATGGATCGAAACCAGGTATCCAATCTCTAACACGCCAAGGGTTTCTTATTGAAACAATTAGGGTTCAAATTGATGGTATTTCTTTCCGCGTTCTTTGTGCTTTTCTCAGTTAATTGGGCATTTCCTTTCGGGTGTTCATTCTGCATTCCTATTATTGATCGATATGCCCAATTATTGCGAGAGATATGGTGTTTTTCTGGTCGAGCTGTGGATCTAGTTTTAAGATAGCTATTTAGTTCTGATACCTTTCAGTTCTTTTTTTATTCATTTCAGTGATTTAATTAATGGATCTGACCATTTAGACATGCTAAGAATAAAACTTTATGGGTACTTTGCAAAAACCTCACGATACCTTGCACTCCAAATAAAAATGACAGCGGGTTTTAAATTTTTATGCAAGTTCTCATAATTTTTTTTTCTGTTTAAACATATACAATTTATTTTTGTAAACATGGACATTTAAGTAGTTGGCCTGGTGGCGGAATAATGAGATACAAAATGTTATTAGGGGAGATATCTGCTTTTAAAGAATGGAAAATAATTATAAGGAAGCTGCAGGTTGTAAAATGAATATAGTAATCAGACTCAAAGTTGTAAGTCTTGATGATTTGTATGATAGACTAGGCACTAATTGTGGAGAAAATGTTTATATGAAAATTAAGGCAAGAACAAGGAGGTCAGCAGAATTTGATAAATTTAGATTTATTAAGCATGAAGATAATACGATCTTAGTTAAATATGAAGATATTAAAGAAAGATGGAAATAAAATTTTCAGAAACTATTAATTTAGATTATTCTGGAAGAAATATTTTTAGGTGAACATGAAGAGTGGAATGTTGAAGTTTACCATAGATTGATCTTTAGAAAGGAATGTTAGTTAACTTTGATGAAGATGCATAAAAGTAAAGCTCTATGTTTGGATAAGATACTCATTGAGATTTGGAGAGTTATGCGAAATGGTGGAGTAATTTGATTAATAAATCTTTGAATGAAATCTTAAGGACTAAGATGGTGTCAAATGATTGAAGATGTAATGTTTTAGTATCAATTATTTGAAAACAAATTTGTTCAAAATTATGGTAATTTTTAGAGTTTTAAACTTAGTCATACAAAAAAGTTATGTGAGAGGGTATTGGAATATATGCTTATAGAAATTAACTCTTTATCATATGATCTTTATTGATTTTGAAATGGCATGTGATCGAGTTTGAACACGATTGATTTTGTGGACTTAGAAGAGAAAACTATCTAAAAGTAATGTTGAAGGCTTGAAGATATTAAAGATACTTATGATGGAATGACGAGGAGGGTTTTTTCAAGGATTAATATCCAGTTTCTATTTTTATTTGTATTGGTTATAAAAATGCTTGCAAAACATGCTTATAATTAATTAATGGCCCCGTAAGTAATATTATTCCATTATGCTGGGAGACATATTCTTTGAAGTGAAAAGTTAGAATAATAAAGGAAACTCTTAAAAGATAAAGAGTTATAATTATTTTACAAAAGATGAGTACATGATATGTACTTTTATTGGGTATGAGCTTGATATATATCAATTTCCATTGCTAGAAGATCAACTAATACATTACTGTAATAGGTTTAATCATCTTGAATCAATTATATAAAATAATGTGAATATATTGGTGGAACTGTGGAAGTAAGTTATTGTGTTAAAGGTAGTGGATAAAATGAATAAGTGTTTCAAAATTACTGGCACATTCTATAAAGCTTTGTTCGTACCACTTTTGCCATGCAAATGTAATAGTTGATCTATAGAGAAGTCACTAATAACTAAGTTATCACAAATATGAATAAAATTAAGTGGTTTGAATTTGTATAATAGAGGATATAAGATGTAGGGATAAAACAACTAGTAATAACTAGTATAGAATGATTATGAAGGAAGATAGAAACATGATTAAACATTGAGAGAAATGTTTCACAAAATAGAGGGAACATCTCATTCAACACTCAACTGGAATGAATGGAGAGGGATAGTTTATATATTCAACCTTAAATAATTTTAATAAGGCTAATTTTGATGAAAATTAAAATAAATCCATTAATCTTAGTTTAGTTAACCACTAATCATTTTGTTCTCCTTTTCCTCATGAATAGCCAGAGTCCTCTGCTAATGTCCCAAATTGCCGACAAATGTAGTAGTTTGTGTTGGCTAGGTTGCTTGGGATCCTATATGAGTTCTCCATGAGCTCATTCTACTTGAGGATAATCCCAACTGTTTTGGCAAGTGTGGTAGTTTGTGCTAACAAGCTTGCTTGGGGTCTTGGCGCACAAAATCATCTTTTTTAATTTCAATTTAGTACATTTTTAATTTGTGAGATTATGCCAATACCTTATTGCAAATTAATTTAGCTTTTTCTTTAATTTGGAATTCATTTTTGATTGATCTTTACACTGCGACACTTGATCATATTTTGAGGCATATCTCACAGCAGCACTCAAAACTTTTTTTTGGATGAGTTCTTAAATATGTTCATTTTTCTTGAAGTGATTGCTCCCACATTCCCATTTCTTGAATCACAAAACCACTTTGGGTGGCAGTCTGACATTTCTACAAAATGTAATAAACTTCATATTACGCTTGAAAGGTTAGGTTCTAATTAGGGGTGCAAGTGAATCGAACTGGCTCGAGCTCGACTAGTTAATGAGCTCACAAGTCGAGCTTATTGAGCTATGAGCTTAACCTCGAGCCTACACTCGAGCTCGTATATTAAATGAGCTCGACCTCAGCCTGGCTTTGCTCGTAAGATCGTTGAACTACTCTATTAAATTAAAATATATTCAAAAACGAATTTAAATTAGTTTAATTATATATTTTAACATTTTTAAATTAATTTTATATTAAAAATAAAATTTCTAAAAAAATGAAAATTTTAATTTAAACTAAGAAATCAAGCTCAACAATCGAGGCAAGTTCGAGTTTTCCAAACAAGCTCGAGCCTTTCAAACAAGCTCGAGCTTATAAATTTTTTTATCGAGCCGAGCTCGAGCTCAGTAAGAACTAAACAAGCGTAGCTTGATTAGGCAGATGCTCAACTTGACTCGACTCGCTTGCACCCCACCCCTAGTTCTAATACATTGTAGGTATCTTAAGGAAACTTTAGGTGTTCACAAAATGCCCATAAATCATAAAGATACAAATTAGGGAAGACTTAAGGCAAATAGTTCCGTTATAGCACACAGTTGATAGTATATATTGAATTCATATTGGAGGGAAGATAAATTGCCTTCATCTGGGAGAGAAATACTATAAAGAAATAACAAAATAGAGTGAATCATTTAAGGAAGCTAACAACCATACCTTTGAAGGCACATAGCAGCAAAATATGTAGACATATGATGCAAAAAAAAAGAGATAAATTGCATAACATATAATCTCAACTGCTTAAGCTAATCATGATAATCGATGTAGCTCTGAATAATGTTTATGAAATCTAAAATACAATTCCAATCAATTGAAATCTTTTTAATTGTGTAATTAGATCCACAGTGAGGATAAATGCTCAATAATAAGCAATATTATTTGCTGAATAATTAGAGTTTAATTGACATGATTCGCTTGGAATATTATGCATAATAATCTGATACTTATGGGATGAAATCCAATGCCCAAGTATTGATTAAAAGTATAATACCATCAGAATAATTAGAGTGAAATCAATATTGATTTTATAAAATAATTGTATTATATGAAAATTTGAGTCTACAATCATTGCCCAGAACATTTAACAAGCAACATAACAACAAATCTTTGTCACCAATGTGATGATGTTTTGTCAAACATGATATTAAATTAGCTAGATTTGTTCACCCTTCGATCACTCAAGAATTCCCAAAAATGGCGTTGATCTTTGTTTGGTAGTTTTAATTTTCCTTCATTATCAAGCATTTGGAAATATCAAGTAAGAAAGTAATATTTTTTTAAAATAAGTCTAGTGTACAAGCTATAATATATGCCTAGCATAAATCTCATAAGATATAGTCATGCTAATCTTATTAAAACTAATCTTGAGGTTTTTGTTGACTAGGATAACGAGATGGTTGCATTGTTTATCTTAGTTATTCAGTCCACATGAGATCTGGTTGACTTGAAGATCAAGTTGTTGGCTTATCACGAAGCTGAGGTGAAAAACTCGTGTTGTTGGAGCGGTGCGGTGGTGGTACTGTGGGAATATATTGAGTTTTTGACTAGGGTAATGGTGGAGGGTTTGAGAGGCTATGAAAGGAAAATAAGAGAAGGAGATATGTCAGAAGAATGACAGATAAGATAAGTGGTGGTGCATTTGGTGAAGCGTTGACAAATGATGGCGAGGAGATGGATAAGGCCATACCAGGTGTAGAACAACATTGGGATTGTTGGTGATTGTGCTATGGTCCTTGGAAACATTTAGAGCGGGAGAAAAGAATGGAAAAAGATATATAATGGGAGGTGGTTGGGAGCCTTAGACAGAGTTAAAGGGTTATTAGACAATTGAGAGGAACTTGGAATGAATTCCAGCTGAAATGGAATGCGATGTATTGTGTGAATAAAGAGGGAGAGGCAATCACTACTATAGTGCAACACAATAGCCACTACTATTCCCTTTGATGTCATTACGTTGATAATATCAGTGGGCCATGCACTTTGTTAACCCTTGGTTATTTTCATGTAAAAGTAAAGAAGAATAGGGTTGTGGCGGGTAGAATTATCGAACACATATTTTTCTTACGTGGTTTGTTGAAGCATGCTACACTTCATTGCAATATCAAATGCCTTTGTGTGTAAAGATCGTGGTTATATTTCGTAACTTTTAACAATTTGTATGGTACATTGCTTATACAAACATTTCAATTTTATGTTTGTATGAAAAGCATACAAAAAATTTCATAATAATTCTAATAGCTTCCAGCTCGACCTAAAACCTACATAATCACTCATTAAAACACAATATGCACAAAAGACCTTAAATAACAAGAAATTACGCAGTGGACCCTTCCCTAAGGCAATGTGTTATACCATCAATCCCTCCTTGGATACCAGGATCGTGCATTTATTCTACGGGATTCCACACTGCATTGGATCTCATTGGAACTCAAGGTTCTTAGGGTCCCTTGGGAACTCATACAATATATCGTCCCAGAAAAATGAGTTTGCTTTCTGACTTGTATGATCGTAGCAGATCCCATGCAAGTTAGTTGGCATGAGCAACCACCTTTGCCTGCATTGGCATGTATTGTTGGCGATGGGATGAATAATTCACAAGCAAGAAGGAAAAGGAAGGAAAACTTGGGGGCTAGTTACTAAAATATTTAATTTTAAGTATTGTTTATCAATACATGGAAACAGTAGCCTTGCAAACAAATTAAGAATTATTGGCCTTTTTCATCAAGAGGACAAACTGTGTGGAGTATTTTAAAAGACCCCAAATTTCTTTTTTAATTCCCTTTTTGATTTGCTCGTGCAGGAGACCAGGGAAAACTACGCTAACCCAAGGACATGTTTCTTTCATGTTATCTTCAAGGTATACTTCTCAATTATTTTGATTGCTTTGAAATCATCTGCATATCTTTTTGAGTTCATCTGTTGTCTTTTGGTGGCCCAGGCTGCAGCATTGGCCTTCTATATTCTCTCAGCTCTCTTCTTCAATAGCTTTGTTATTATCTTCGTGGTTACTGTTTTTTTGGCGGCTCTTGATTTCTGGGTTGTAAAGAATGTTAGTGGACGGATATTGGTTGGTTTGAGATGGTGGAATGAAATAAACGAACAAGGGGAAAGCGTATGGAAATTTGAATGCCTGGATCACGAGGTGCTTAAAACTCTATATGATTTGGCATTCAACTGATTTATATAGTTCCAACATCTTATTTGTTTGGTATTTTTGTATGCGCAGTCTCTTGCTCGCATGAATAAAAAAGATTCCTGGCTTTTCTGGTGGACAATTTACCTCACTGTGAGTAGATTGGTCTGATTTGCAAGGCATAAATCATTTTGCATGCTTGTTTTTATCCTATTTTTCATAGAATATTTGATTAAGTGAGGAGTATTTCTTGTTCATAATTTTTGGCGGTTAAGATGATTCTTATAGATACAACCTGATTATTAGAACCTACATATTATAATTATATCAGGTCTACCTGTAATTTGAGTTTTGCCCATGAATAATAAGAGTTGGCTGTGACAATAGCTTCCATTATGCCTCTGGCTCTCACTGCTCCCACTCCAAACCAGTAATAACATTTGCAAGAGGCACAATAGCTATAAGCATGTTCATGTTGTTGCCATCAAGAAAGGGGTATCAGTGGAAGTTTGGTGCATTAACCTCTACCATGTAATGTTTTGAATATAATTCTGTCTTGACCACAGAAGCTGGACCCATTTGCTGCACGAGAACCGAGCTTACTCCATGCATTTTTCATCGAGTTTCATTTCACACCTAACTCAATCAAAGAACTTTCTGTTTTAACTGCCTTAAAATGTTTAGCATGCTATTTATAATCACCATTATCATACAGTAGCGCTAGCATTTTTGCTTATAATGAAGATTAAGTAATCATTTCTCGTGTTAGTTCTCTCAATAATTGATGTTTGTTGTGCTCTTTACAGAGCCATGGCAGTAGTAGACATATTAACAATTCAAGCATTATATCTGTTTAACTGAAGATCAGTTTTTTATATGGTGCAGGCTGTTGCATGGATTGTTCTTGGAATATTTTCCCTCATTAGGTTCCAAGCAGATTATGTACTTGTGATTAGTGTTTGTTTAACCCTCAGTATTGCAAACATTGTTGGATTCACTAAATGTCGCAAAGGTATATGTTTTTGTACCTGTCATTATTGCCTATTCCTTCTAATCTATCATTGACTAAAACTGTAAAACACGTTAGAGATGGAATATGGAGTTTTTTGGTTGAGATTACATCTTAGCCATCCATTAATAAACCTCATTTATAATGATAAACGCTTAATTCTTACAAGAGTATCTAACTAGGATTCCTAAGATTCTTGTGGTGAAGATTTGTTAGTTTACCTTATTATGGTTACCCTTAACTGCAACAAGAAGAGGCAATTGCTCAATCAATGCTAAGAAAGGCTAAAAAAATCAATATCTGTATCTTATGATGATGAGTTTCTGTGATATACTGTAAAATTTATTGACGTGCCTACCGTATGCAAGATATTGGTCTACAAGGTCCTGCACATGCATTTGTAAGAATTTTTTTTTTAATAAAAAAATAGTTGGTTGTTTATATCAAAGCAGTTTACACTTCAGTAGTGCATTATCTTATTTTTATAAGTTATATTGAAATTATTAAGGTCATCAAGACACTTTTGTTTAGATAGTTCTTCCATTTTTATATGATTTAATTTTGTTATGTTTTCTTGTTGGTTGGTAGTTACTGTTTTGTCATTGTTGTACTTTCCTGAACTTTTATTATTTTCCAAATTATGTGTATCGCTGAGGAATACAAAATATCTGTGCAACATTTTGTATTTTGGAAACTTGGAAATGCTTCAATCAAGACTTGAGTTCATTATTTGGCTGAAAAGTTTTCTTAGAGTGTCATCCTCCAGTTTATTCTCTTAGTTTTACAGCACTTATGTGTTTAGCTTTTACAACAAACTTAGATTTTGCATAAAGCTTCAAGGTTCCTGTAAAGCTTTGTAACCTCACTACAGTTGAACATATCTGAAGTGGTTTGATGATTAAGGTTTTACTTTAATAGCTGAATCATAAGTGAACTATTTGGTAGTTTTTGTGTTTTTAATTTGAAGAAACGTATAACTAGTTTTGAAGTGGGGGTAGACTTTCGATAAATCAGCCTAACTGGAGTACTCTTTCCAAAATTTTTTAAATTAAAGCAGAAGAAACTAAACTTTGTTTTTGGATTGATTTTAATTGTCCAAATTTCATTCTTTTTAAGACCTTTTTCAAGTAATATGATGGATTTGGATTTTCTCTAATTACCATGGTAATTGGAGAGGTAAAGTTTCAATTCCCAGCCATTCAATCTACTTTGAATGGCTGAGATTGATTCCACTTGCTTTTTTTCTTTTTTAAAACATTGAATTTTGAGAAGAAATCTGAACTATTCAAAGTGTATTGAATGCTGGGATTTTGTTATTTTACCTCTCCAATTATTATGTTAATTATAGAGGATTTGAATACATGATGTATCATACTCATTGTCGCAATCAATTACTCCTTTTGGCAATATTTTTATGGTTTGCTTTATACTTTCAAAACCACATTTTGCAGATGCCAAGAAACAGATCCAGCAATTTGCTTCACAGACAATTGCATCACAGTTCTCATCAACATTACAATCTGCCTTTAGCCTGGTGTGAGCCATAAACTTAGAAGGGAAGGAGAGTTGTAAATTGAAGCCTGCCTTGGTTTTTTCTACCAATTTTTGTTCAATTTCATTGGGCATCATATGTTTTCTATCACCTATGCACGTTTATTATTTCAACCTTGAAATCAGAAATGTGGATACTTTTAGTAATGAAAAACAACTAAGTTTTACTAGTGCTATCGCTGTCTATGTTCTATTCTTTTGTTTTTTGGGAAAGTCTTTGGTTGCCTGTGAGATATTGAGAGCTTATGTCACATGAATGGTATTGAATATTTATGTTGTTTAAGAGTTAATAAGAGTACATGTTTTAGATATCTTAGATCTATTATTCAGTGTGATGATGAAATAGGTGAGGATGGTTGAAGTGGAGGAATGCATTGGGCTTGTTGTGTGATAGAAAAGCCTTCCTCAAACTTAAGGGAAAATTCTATAAGATGGTGGTGAGACCTGCAATGCTTTATGGTGCTGAATGTTGGTCATTAAAAGAGAAGCATAATACTAAGTTAAGTGTTGCAGAGATGAGGATGCTCATGTGGATGAGTGACTTTACCCTTAGAGATAGGATACGAAATGAGCATATACGTGAGAAGGTTGGAGTAGATCTAGTGGAAGATAAGATTAGAGAGAGTCACCTTAGATGGGTTGGTCACATAAAATGGTGTCCTTTCGATGATCCAGTTAGAAAAATTGAGGTATTAGATTTGACTTATGTTAAGAAAGGTAGAGGTAGCCCTAAAAAGACTTGGTTAGAAAATATTAGAAATGATCTTTATTTATTAGATTTAAATTAGAATTTGACTTTTAATAGGACACAATGGAGAAAAAAGATTCATGTACCCGACCCCTCGTAGTGAGTGAAGACTTGTTGTTGTAAGAGTTAATTTCTTTTGATGTATGTTATTAAAATTTAGTTTTGAAAATGAATTTCATTGCAGTAAATTTCAACGATATTAATGTCTTGTATGAATGTATTTCATGACAATTTAATTTTACTATCAATTTAAATTATAGAGAATTTTGATTTTGATATCATATTATTATTATTGTTAATAAAAGTAATATTTTTATTCCTACTTTTCTTAATTTTTTGTTAGCATTTAGCGCATTATTATTATTACTTTGTGTAAAAAAATATTTTTCAAGCCTTCTTAGGTGTATTTGAGTATTTCTCAACTTTGTAGAAGTGAAAAAAAATATGGAACTTATTTTATTCAAATTTTATCAGAAGCATTAAAATTAAGGCTCGGGATAATTTTGTTATTACTTTCTTTTCAAATTGTAATTATAAATTTTATTTTATCAATATTTTTTATAATTTATAAAATTTTTACTAGAAATTTAGTTTTTACAATAACATTGTTTTTTTATTTTGATAGCAGCTTTATAATATATAAAAAAGTTGTACTAAATGAAGCTTAATAGAAATCACTCGTCAGCACTTTTTTTTTCAAAATTGGATAATTTATTAATTTGGTCTCCTAAGAGTTAAGACCGCGACCTACTGTTTGGGTGAAATGGGTACCATTTTAGATCAATATCCTTTCAATCCAATTAATAACTAATGTTCAAAAGAGCATAATTTGCATTCGGGGAGGTACGGTGTGAATGCTGACGGAGAATTACAGTTTAATAAGTGGTAGTAATAAAAATGATTTTACTTGGACTTCATTTCAGACAATTTTTTTTATTTTTAAAAATAAATTTTAGTAAAAATTTTTAATAGGAATTTAAAAATAATGATTAAAAATTATTTCAAATAAAATCTTAATCCCCAAAGATCGTCCCTTATATTTAGTTTTTTTTTTTTAATGGAAATGTAGACATTCTTATGTTGGGGCTGAGAATGTAAGTTCAAATGGACTAATGGAATTGTTCTACAAATTCATGGAAGTGTAGGCATTGAGAAAATCAAGGCGTGTATGCCTTTTTTTTGTGGGATTTATAAAATATATCATCTAATCTTTCATTTTTATTTATATAATAATAATAATAATAATGATAATATTTTTACCATATTTTAAATATTTAAATATGATATAAATAAATATAATAAGTTAAATATTAAACGTATGAATAAATAAGAATTTCATGTATATATCCATCACTTCATAATTATGCTGTCAAGTCCGTTGGTGATATTTGTCAGTTTAACTTGAGAGAAAAAATAAATAAATAAATAAAAATAACTTCTATAACGATGTAAGATTTATTGAAAATATGTTCACTTATTATTTAATGAAAACTTGAATTTTGTTGCTGTTAAGGCATTCTGTCAAGTGTTGCTCAATTTGACTTATAAAGCAAGTCAAAATTTTATATTTGTTTTTAGTTTGCTTAGTAATTGAGCTAAACAAGAGTTATTTAATAACATAAATTATTTGAAAGTCATACATAAATTATAGAATGTACAAATCATAAAATATATTTCAATGAATTCATATAAATATAAAGTTTTAAATATACATCCACATGCACACATGTAAGAAAATGCACATTTTTATGTATAATAAATATAATGAGCAACTATGGCACCAAACATGAGAAGTTCAGGCAAGAACTTCTCATTTTTAGCTCATTAAATGTTTAAATGAATGAGAAAATGAGCTAATAATAGAGCCAAATTTGATCAAATACAAACAACCAAGTTTTTTATGACAGTCGTATTATAAATAGAGTCTGAAATTATTCTGTTTCTGTGCATACACGGACGCCGCCCAGAGACGAATAAGAGCGCGTCATATCACCCCTTTGATGTGTACCTGTTGTGTACCAGATGATGTGGCACGCTCTAATTCACCTCCAGACGATCCGGTATCCGCACAGAATAATTTCTCCTCGCCCATAAAGCATAATTTCTCAATAAGTGCAACAAAGTGTCAGCACTCTCTCTTCAGCAGAAAGATTGTCTAAATCTCTGACATTTATGAAATATCATATCTACTGAAACCATCCAGCAAAGTTGAGCATTGCTGAGATTGCCATATTCAATGATAATAAGTGAGTTCATCTCTTTATAAAAAAAAAAATGTAAATGGCCAGCCTAAAGTACAATATGTACAACTGTATGCTTATGTGAACACTGAGGACTGCTAATATTTACAGGCACAACCTCTTCTACAATTTCTACATGGCTGGAACCTTCGAAGCTGGACCCTGATATTATTAACCTTCAATCCTGTTGTATGTAAAAACTGAGTTTCTCTCTTCATCAAATTCTTCAAAGCAATCAGAGGATCACGCCGTCATCAACGCAGCCATGGAGGGATCGTCAAAATTCAATCCTTCCTCATAAACACCACTCACTAACTTAGATCAAAACCAGCATCCGCATTTATGGCATAGATCAATTTGTTTCTCATTTGCTCTATGCTGTATGAGAGAACAGAAAATTTTTATGGCGCATCTATTATTAGTTTATTACCAAACAAACAAGGCAGAATAAAGGAACCATCAACACTGTTGAATTGGACAAGCCAAAAACCTCCAAAAAGCTAAAAAGCAGAACTTATGTACAGGAATGATGAGATTGGGGCCCATAAAGATTGCCATGTTCGGAATTTTTTTTTTTTTTTTGGAGAAAAAGGATTCATGTAGCAGCTGACCCGACGTTGTGGGACAAGGGCTTGATGATGATGTTGTTGTTGTTGTGGTAAATGTAGTTCTATATGATATACTGAAAGTTGACCTCCAGCTATTAAAACTTATTTTCTAAGAGGATAGAGTACAACAACATGAAGCCTTTGTCCCACTACGTGAGGTCAGCTACATGAATCCTTTTTCGCCATTGTGTCATATTAAAAGTAAAATTCTCATTTAAATCTAATAAAGAAAGATCATTTCTAATATTTTCTAACCAGTCTTTTTAGGTCTAATTGGGTCTCATTGGAAGGTCTCCATTTAGGGTAAAAAAAAAAGAAAAAAAAGAATGAAAACGCAAGAAGAATAAAATCCGGCTTGTTTCACTTACTATGCTAATATGCATATAAAGAAGTTTTTAAGATGGCAATTTCTTCTAAAAAAACTAATGGCAAAATGCTCGGCTGTTAATCCGATTTAGCTTTAAAACCAAAAGGAAATATTTATTAGTCTGCCTTCCATATGATTAGAATGAACCGAGTTAGTGAATATATGTGACAAAATTCAAAAAAATAACTCACCTTTTATATGGAGGGAGCTTCAGCAAATTCATGCAGGTTGCGGAAGTTGGCAAACGATCCAGATCTTCTTCGGCAGCATGTAAAGGAGCAGCTCTGTGCGTCAAATTCATTCAGTCAGCAGTTCCATTTTAGATGCTGAAACATATGAACGTTAACAGAGTCAAAAATAACCTTTGTATGCAGAATTTAGGCTCCAGGTATCTAAATCCAAGAAGGGGCCCACGAGAACATCCTGTAACAAATCTACAAAAAGTGATTCAGACAACCTGTGCATTGAGAATTCCAAATTATAGAACAAGACGCAATTGACAATTAACACAAACTGAAAGAAAATTAAAGCGGAGGATTGCAACAAGTTACAAATGAAAACAATCATCACTATTGAAACATAACGAATCAAGCCACACCTTCAGGATGAACAATAATAGGATTTTATATGTATAAAGAGTATGAAACTAGTCTAAAAATTAGCTGCCCCCATCTAATGTACCTGCAGACCTAGGAGGAATAAATTTGATGATGAAGATTAATGAGAGAAAAATATTTTTCTTCTTCCATAACTAGATTATACCTTAAAAACAGGAGTGTCAATTCGAGTTGACACGTTGGGTTTGGTTCTAATCTGAATTTGACCCGATCTAAGTTTTACTTGAACGAACCTGACTTGTTTATCAAAAGGGTAAAAATGTTTGATCCAAACCTAACTAGCCCAAACCTGATCGATTTGACCAATTTATTATATGGATTGTACAAATTTTTTAGATTAATACAATACTTTTTAACCCAAACATGATCCGTTTAACCCAAAATGAATGACAATTAAGTCAATTTTAAGTTAATTTTGAATTTTCGAGTCAACTCAACCCTGATAACAAAATTAATTAGGCAACATTTCACACCTCACCCGACCCGAATAATAATCGGGTCAATTTAAATCTAAATTTTTTTAGCCATATTCGAGTTGAGTTATTTGTTGATACCCGTATCTGAAAATCATTTTTGAAGAATAAGATTCTATTTCAAGAAATGTAACATTAACCGATGTATAAAACCTCTTAGAAGGTGGATGATAACATTTACATAACTTTTGAGTTAATGATTACCCCAAAAAATATATTTTATAGCCCCAAGATCAAAATTTGCTCTTGTTTCAGCTATGACATGAACAAAGAATTAGATTATTTGAATTTCTTATACTTTCAATATTTTCACAGGATTCTTAGGTTAGGATAAAATTTAGACAATATTTTCACAGGATTCTTATACTACAACATCTATAAGGTAACCTATTCATAACACATGACTGTTAGAATTGTTTTCCCCCAATAACATTTAGGTACATTATTTTGAAACATTTAAATGACTTTTTTTTTTCTTTCAACAGCACCACTTTGTTGCGGAGTGTTCACAAATGATGATCATGAATAAGGCCTTCCTTTTGGAAGATGTTAGGACCTCATGGAAATAATCCCTCTGATGGACCGGACCAGCCGGTCCATCCCATAGCAACACCGGCCCAAACTAGGCCGGTTTCTGTTTACCAAAGGAGGAACCGCCCACCACTTGGGCGGTTGGCCGAAGGAGAGGGAGGGAATAACCGCCCACTTGGGCGGTTGGCTGAAGGAAAAGGAGGAGGTTGGGCCCAACGGGCCCAACAAATGCATGAGGAAGAGTAATTTGTTTGTCATAAGGGTAGTTAGGATATTATGGGGGGAATTATGTGAGTGTAAAAAGGAGTTAGGGTTTGTTTTGTGGACATCTTTTGTTTGGTGATTAATTTTCCTCTTTTCTAGTCTAGTGTTTGGGAGAAAGCTTCTCTTCTCGAATTGAGAGCATTGTATCCGTGGAAACTTTTCCATCAAAGTGGTATCAGAGCGCTAGATCCACAAGGGATGAGTACACGCAGGATTGACTCTATTGAAGAGAAAATTGGAGAGTGGGAAGTTGAGATGACCGCCCTCAAAGAGAAATTTACATCCGTTGATGAAAAGCTTGATGGAGTTGACGAGTTGAAGACTCAAATATTGGGGTTACAAGAGATGATCAAACAAATGGTGGCGGACCAACACAACAAAGGGGGTTCGGCTAACCCTAACCCTAATGCGCAACCGGTTGATGGTGAAGGTAGAAGTAGAGTTCGTGAAGGGCAGAATGCAAAAGGGAAAGAAGCCATTGACATTAGCAACCGTGGAGAGGAGGCATGGTCCGCCGGCCCGAAAGGGGGGATGTATGGCCCAAACCGCGGAGGGGAAGGCTATTCCACCGCCGGATTTATGGGAGATGCTAGGGCCAACTATACTCAGAATCATCCAGATCAATTTTTCCAAGGAAAGGAAGGGAGAAGCATGCCTTACCATCAGTGGGGAGGAGGATCATATCGGGGCAGAAGGGAGGCCGACCCTAGGGAGCCTCATTGGGGGCCGGCTGATTATGCAAGGGGAGATCCAATGGCACAACAAGCTTGGAAAAGAAGGGAGAATCGTGGGGTGGACCCACAACCATGGGAGAGACAACCAGATGGGGGATATGGGCAAGGAAGTATGGGCCACGGCAGAGGAAATGGGAGAGGAGAATGGGGAATGAGGAAGTTGAAGCTTCCAATCTTTGAAGGTGAGGATGCATATGGTTGGATCTTTAAGGCGGAGAGATACTTCACAGTGATGGGGATGACAGACGAGGAGAAACTCTTAGCGGTACCTTTATGTTTGGAGGCAAGAGCCCTAGCTTGGTATCAGTGGATGGAAGAAAGACAGAGATTCAGATGTTGGGCAGAGTTTAGAGAGATGTGCCTAGATCGCTTCAGACCACCAAAGGAGGGAACTCATCATGAGCAGTTCTTCGCACTGACTCAGACTGGTACCGTATCGGCTTATAGGGACAGATTTGAGTTGTTGTCCAGTAGACTTCATGGGATGACGGAGGAGGTGCTTGAGGGGAACTTTATGAAGGGTTTGAAACCCCACATTCGATCAGCAGTTAGAGCGGCCAAACCAAGGAGTCTGAGGGAGACTTTGGAGATAGCTGAGCTGATAGAGGATAAATTATCTTCTGATCAATACCGCAAAACTACTTTCTTTGGAGGAGGACAGAAGGTGGCAAATCCTACGGGAGGAGCCAAGGGTACTTACTTGGGGACAGGAGGAGAAGGACAGAAAGAGAGGGATCGTAGTACACCGACCAAGGGGGAGTTCAGGAGACTCACAGAGGCAGAGCTGAAGGATAAAAGAAGGGGCTCTGTTACAGATGTGATGAGAAGTTTGGACTAGGGCATAGGTGCAAAGACAAATCACTTCAAGTCATATTGGTGGAAGACCCATAAGTGGAGGAAGTTGAGGAAGAGTTAGGAGGGGGGAGAAGAGGGTGTAGATCATCTACATCTTGACATGGTTGAGGTTTCCCTCAATTCAGTAGCAGGGTTGACAGCACATTCCACTATGAAGATGGAAAGGAGAATTGGGAGCTATACAGTCACGGTGCTGATAGATAGTGGGGCCACCCACAACTTTATAGCTTACAGATTAGTGAAAGAGTTGGGCATTCCTATGGTACAAGGGAGAGAAGT